TTTCATAGTGTATTGCATCGCCAATTACATTGTTCCTAACTGGATAGGGGGCCATTCAAGCAGATCATAGTTCTACAGCATTTGAGCACGTGCAGTCCCAGATGCATTTCGCATCAATTTGTCCGCTAGAGCCCCATCGCGCTCATCAAGAACGTGGTTTCAGAGGCTCGTACTCCTTATATGCTTAACCGCATAACCATTATAAAGTAAGAGACGTTTAGATAATGCGAAGGTTGCTAGTTTTATGTCCCGAAGAAGGTCAATTATTTGGAAGAAACCTTTGCAACTGTATGATAATGTTTGTAATAAATGTTGCTGGTACCGTCGTGCTGTTCGCAACAAAGGCGAATGGAGTTGAAAACCTCTTATGTGATCTAGAGTTTATAAAATCAAACATATTACAGTTTGGATAAGCAGAGTGAGAAATTAACTCACACAACCAGATTCAGATACGTTCAATAACTGTCAAATGAAAGAAGTCACCCAGTATGTCCGCATGGGACAGCTACTCATGCCAGGCCACTCTTTTAGTCCAGAGCTCGTTAGAGGGCTTTGCAGGATAGAAGGGTGGAGTACATACGGCAAAAACGCTGATATTCTTGAATACTGAGAGTTATCAGTTGCTGTTAGAAACAGATACAACAGCACTGTATGGAAACCGGGTCTTGTAAGCAGCTTTATATGGTTGCGCGACTACACATGAACGAAAATGGATAAAATCAGCTGAAAGTACGGCATGCCGTTATGGAAACAAGAATGCTAGGAATTTGCCTAACAGCTGTTAGATGTAGAAATTGGAAGACGTATGGGGATGCAGGATGTTGTACCAGTTTTAAAAGAAAGAAAATGACAATAGGCAGGTCCCATCGCATGACTGGGGAATGTCAGAAGAACTTCAGCTGTAACGGCTTGATACCCAAGAGGCTGCGAGTGCCCAGTTGAAAGACCGGCTGAAATGGGATCGTAATAAAGATATGTAAATTTGCAACTCTACACCACTATTAGAATGGCAATGTTTACTGTTGGAAAGTACATTTTGTGAAATGCATAAAATTAATATTTGTTGGTCAGTTCGTGCAGTTGACGTTGTCTCACTCCATCGAAACCTTCGTACTACAGGCCTATGTGGGACAGCGCTTCGCCATCAAATTAAAATATAAAGAGAACGAGTCAAAAATAATTGTTCTGATAGTTGTATGGAAGAGTATGGCGATGTTGCCTCGCATTCACTTCATTCAGGAAGGGCGAGTGAAAAAATATGCAAGCTATTAACCTTCTCATCAGAACAGGCATAAACAGAAATGGGAGACTTCGATACTCACGTATTCTTAACCTTAGCTGACGACAGCAGCAGGAAGGACATAACAGGGGAAACATATTCCGCTGTATAGGGTCAACAGTGTGAGAAAGTAAAAACATTACCTGTGCAGTTCCTTGTGCCCATCTAAAGGTAGCGAAACTCAAGAAGGCCCTCTTAACTGAAGGGATCGAGAAAGGAAATTTTTAATTTCTCAGAGTTCATGAAAGGAAAGCTTCGACGTAATTGCAATTGTTGTCTTGATTCGTGTTTTGTTTGTTAATAGTAGTTACTGCTTGTGTAGGAAATGCGTTCTATGGCTTCAACGTTCGACAGAAAGATCGGCTACTTTTTGCAGCATTACGAGAACGGTGAAGTGCCCAACGGGTCGATTCCAAACTCTTTGTTAGAAGAAAAAGAACACAGGTATCGATGCATGGCGTTTTTTGGAAATCAGCATTTTCTACATCATAGTATGATACATTTTAAAATTTTTCAACCAGAAATAACATTTATGCCCTCCTTTTTGGGTTTGTTAGTTTCGTTAATCTTCCACAATGAGGCATTGTTTGGTGTATCCTTCTTTGTTTAATCAAACTGTTTGGGCTAACCTCCGTTACCTTATTTTAGTCAGGACTGCTTCGTTGTCTTTTGAAGGTTATGTTAGATGATCAATATGATGATATGATGACCTGTACGATATGTGGTTTCTTATTTCCTTCCAACGAAGTGATGATCATTTATATACCTAGTTTGGACGAAGGAGAAGTGACCTGAACGGGAATTGATCTCTAGACCTCTCAGCTGCTAATCTGATGGTCTGTCGATTGTGCAAAAACCCCTTCGCCCTTTTACGGATAGACTTTAATCTAGACTTTTCCTGGGAACATGACAGGAGAGGGGAAAGGATTAAGATTTATCAGCTGTTTATTCGAAGCACTGGATGCCAAAAATGCCAGTTGAAATTAGCTGAGCCAACTTGACAACGGCTTAGGGATACTCAGCGAATTTTCTGCACATCAGCTGAGGAGGAAGGAAACAGTATGGCGTCACTTGTGCAGTGAGGTTACCTTTCATTAAAAAGTGATAGATCATGCATTGACTAAACACGACCTATTACAGCGTAAAATAAACAGTTGTCGAAGGATACACGAAACTGTAATGTTTTTCTTTTTTGCCTTAGTCCCTTTTCCAGGTATGATGCTTTTCTCTTTAATAAACGGCTTAACATTCAACAAAGTATGATCTAAAACAGCGATTAATCTACCGTTTGGATGATCAAGACAGCAAATTCTTTAGGGTCCTATGATAAATCAGTTTTACCTGCATTACCTTACCATAGTGTCATTCAACCTTCTACCAGAGTAGAACTTGGTTATTTCTGTCGTCTGCGCATTTAAGGTTTACTTTGTCTGAAATATGCTAAGATGATTAGAATAAATGCAGTTTATTAATCGGCGTAAAATAAATTGCGCTATCCTGACTTTGTGATAAGTGTCACAGATTCTCTTCACGGTACACGTTGGACGTTGGCTTTTCTTTCCCTTTCAATTCAAATCGCCTACTCTCCTTTAGCAAACCCAAGTTTAACCAATTATTGGTAAGAGGGTGTCAGAATTTATCCTTCACGATTCTTAGGCTGCAGTCCTTCCAGCTGACTGGAGATTACTT